AACTTTCCCATGTCAATATTCATAATAATCATGCCCTCCAAGACATGAATTTATCTATTCAAAGTCTTACTTTATAGCAAGAAATTGTTCAAGAGGACATTATTATGAGTTGAAAAGTGCCACATTGAGCCAAACAAGGGATCAAAAGGAGGATTATTGTAATCTAAAAAGTTCCATATTTGAACAACCTCCATTTCAAATCTTATTACACGTGTTGGGGGCATTCTAGCATCCAAGCAAAAGGTGTACTCTTTCTAAGGATAAGATTTGAAACAATGGGAAAGGATAATAATTTTAATAGAGCTTCAAGATGGATGTAGAATCAATGATCCCCCCGGGCAAAACCAAATCCAATGATAATTTCAAAAGCATGAGTTGAAAGTTCCTAACTGGGACTGCCTTAATCACGCGTAATTTAAATTAGTAGCTGTAACATAAAAAAGTTAAAAACATGAACAATTACACTTACATCACACATGTTTATGGTATCTTCGGTGAGATTCTAACTTACAACTTGGAGATAATAATCTACAATGACTTCCCATTCATTTACAACAACTAGTTTTTATCACGGACTAACCCAATTAGGGTAAATTGCCATTGTTTCTTATCTCATTGAAAGATGACATAAGAATACTTTCCTTTTTATTGGAAAAAGATTCATGTGCCTCAGAATAGAGATAAATGGATCAAAATGAATTGACCTTACAAATGACAACACTCGTGTATTAATACAATCAAACATAGTTATTTATCGATCTACATATCACGTAGAAGGCATTCAAGCTCATCATCCAACGATGAGATTTGCATACACAAACTTATTCTTTCCTGTTTAAAACAGGTAATATCGGTTTTGTACTAGATGATAGCAACCACTATAGAGGGCCATACAAGCAACCAATCCATACAAGCCAATATATATTATTAGAGACACAACAGTTTTTTGAGCTTTTGGAAAGGCTACGGTTTAAGCTGAAGCATCAATGGCGTGATTAGTAGCTTCTTTCTGTCCAAAAGATTCAACATACTCTTTCCTGAAAATAAAGACCAGATCAAAATTTTAGTCATCAAAATGTTCCTGGATACTGCAACCAAAACAGAGAAAGAAGATGAAGAAAGGGGAGGGTGCAGGGAGAGAGAGAGGGATACAGGGAGAGAACATAATGAAAATCCAGCAGACACCTGGCGGGTAGATGATCATGTGGACGATTATATGGAGTCCAAATAGGATCACCAATAAACAGCCGCATTGCCTACAATAAGAATTTATTGCATAAGAAACAATTTGTTAAAGAAAAGGTAGACCACCCTAAGATTAGTCCCCATGGTCAAGGGATGTGTGCCCAAACAACATACAGAATACATATGTTCCCTTACTATGACCATCACCGGTGGGTCACATTTTCAATGAGCACATATAAGCAGCAGCATGTTGCATGATGAAAAGGGATTACAGGCATGGACTGGAAAGATATAAAACTCTAAAGATACATCACAGAAAAGGCAGTGGATAGGCATACGGTTGTATATGTACATACATATGGATATGCATGAGACTTTATAGTTAAATTTTCTAATTGTAAGGCTTTATATTCCTGATTTTTCTATGGTTGACAGGTGAAAATAATTGCCAGGTAAACGGCAGTGCATTATGTAACCTAAACACCATTTGCATTCAGCAACAAATGAAACAGGGGAACTAATATAATAAATGACACCTCCCTCATATGTCTTCCTTTTTTTTCACAACACAATCAGCCATCAGATGAGAAATTGAAAAAAATAAATCCGACCTTCTCGTGGCACAGGCAAATGCACAATTGTGTAGCAGTATACCTTAATGTAGTTGTCTGTATCGAGCGTAAAGCGGTGATAAATTCCAGCAGGTAGGACAATCATCCCCCCTTTCTTTACCCAGACACGGATCCAAGCTTCATCAAGATCCCGTACATCAAAATAGCCTTCACAACAAAGTGTATTTGTTAAGACAGCCAGGATCGGTGGGCAAAGTGGGAACTATACAATCTAAACATATATAAACCTACCACTTCCCGCGACACAGTAACGAATCTCTTCATCAGTGTGAAGATGTTCTTCGTAAAAGTTTTTGATCTTCTGTTCATAGTTGGGTAGCTTTTCTGGGCAAACCTCACAGAAGTCCTGTAGCAAAAGTTTGCATCCCATTATACTTGCAACTGACAGGCTGGCAGACTACTGCTCTAGAAAGCAGGCAAAAAGGTTGCCAAAACATAGCAATTTTCATTATTTTTCTATTTTGTTTGTTAGTCCTGATTTCCGACATACCATGTAGGAATATCCACGGGCCTCACGAATTTTCTTCAACTCCTCATCAGTTTCATAGTTATCAGCATCTAATCGCCAGCTGAGTACCCCAAGTGCTGCAAAGTTAACATAATAGCTCAAGACATAGGAAAAAATATCCACTGATCCAATGAATATAAAATGCTCCACCATATATTCGTACCAGCAAGTTTGTCCAGGGACACAAATTGCTTTGGATCCCGGTGATGGGGGAGCCTCTGATCTTCATCACTATCATCCATATACCATGCCTGTAAAACTTCCTCCCTGTCATCCTGTAGGAAATCAAGTTGTTGAGAAAGTTGCATTATTTCATAGTCCTCTTTCTTTTGTTTTGCTTCTATACTCAAATTTTTTGGGGAAAGCCAAAATTACCAATGCAAAAGAAACCCAAGCATTCAGATGTGACTAAATGCATGATCATAAACATCTGTCTGAAAATAAGGTACATGTACAACACATGAGGCTTTTGGGCTGTGGTCAACAATAACACATGCTTCAAGGTCTAACCATTGAAAACAAAAATTGTGCACCTCTTGTTAAGAAAACACATCGCTGTTGCAGATTTTCTTAGAAGAGGGCAAGATGCTGGCATTTGGCTTTGAACAGTTCCAAGTAAACTGCTAACTACGCCTGATCCCGGTAGGACACTAACAACATCATCATTGTTCAATCTCTCAGTTTTCCAGATTTTAAATCTACTGTTGTACTCATAGTTTTCACATCGTTAATGCTCGAGCAGTAGGGCATTCCTAGGATTTTTGTCCTCTACGGTTTTGCTTATTGAACTTTCAGTGAGTTTTTCAAACAAATACAAAGGCACACTAGGAATGGTTGATGTGGAATGCAATTTTCGCTAATTAATCTCACAGTCTCTTCATCCATAACCTTTTTTACAATGTAATTTCTAATTTCATAAAGAAAAACAAATCAAGCTTCGACTTTAAGTTAGAGATGAAATTTCCGTCACAAGGGTCAGCACCATCAACAAAGAGGCCCCCATTTTCTTCTATCTTCCTGTCAAAGTTGCATTCCTACATGTTCATCTTTCTATCTTGCCTTTCAAACATATATTTATATTGATTGAAAATGGAAAAGATAGCATTTTTATCGCAAACGCCCCCTAAATTCATTCCTAAACCTAGATTTCCTAACTAGTGAAACAAAAAACCACTAAGAGCTAAAGCATAGGACCAACAATATCCTTAATAAAACAAACCCACCTCTTTGATTTTTCGTTAGAGCGAAAAACCATACACAACTCATAAAAATACGAGCAATGCTATGTAACCCAAATTTGGGATCCCAAATCAATAAGGATCATTGAATCTGTGGTTCCCATTTAAAAAAATTGATTGGATCACTCATCCAATGATCACATTCATTTGAGATGCAAATTTGGGTTACAAATAGTATTTCCCTAAAAATACACACCAGATATGCTTAGTAGCAAGATATCAAAGGAATTAAGAAAACAGATAAACCCTTCACATCGATTATATAAAATCAAAAGAAAGTAATCTGTCTATCGGTTTGATTTATTGTTAGGAGCAAAAAAACATACAGAATTCATAAACAAACACACAAAACAGATATAGTTATAGAAATCCCAAAGTACCTAGAGCGAGATAAGACAACAGGGAAAACCCTTAACAAAGAAGAAAATCAATGGACAATCGAATATGAATTGATTAGATTACCTTGCAATCAGACCCCATCACTGCTCTGCCCTGCCCTGCCCTGCCCTCTCTCTCTCTCAAATTCTCTTTGTTGGCTGTCAACGTTTTGAGCTTTGAAGCAACGCGAGGGAGATCACATTTTAAGGCTCTGTTTCCCTAGTCAAAATAAAGAAACATCTGGTCTAGTCTGATTCTAAAGGGGTACAGAAAGACGAAAATGCCATTTTACTAGTACGAATGTGTGTCCAGGTTAATTGAACCAACCAAGTCCTATTTGATTGGGAGTCAAAGCAATTGAGGGGTCTTTTAGTCATTTCACGCATGAGATAATCCTCAAAAATGCCCCTATGATCTTTATTTTAAATTATCCTCACAACTTTTGATTATTTTAATTTACTCTAAAATTATTGGATAGATGAGACAAATTTTGTTAGGATTAAGAGTTAAATAAGATAATTTTTTTAAAAATTATACGTTACAAGTACATATTACATGATTTAGTGGCAGATTAAAATAATTAAAAGTTGAAATAATTATCAATTTAGATGATAAATTAAAATAATTAAAAATTTAGAGAATAATTTAAATAAAAATATAATTTAGGGGGTATTTTTGGGATTTACCCTAACCCTTATCCTGAAATCACGGCCATTAAGGTTGTACAATTTTTTTACGTAATTGATTATTATACGTTTTGACTTTAAGAGACAATCATTTGAAGCAAAAAGTACGACCAAATTGACGGTCTTAATGACGTAGATGCTCGAGGCTAAACCCATGGGCATAGCTCACTGATTACTAACTGTTAGTGGATTCGAATATTACGAGTTTGAATCCCAGTTTGTCCGGTGCATTTTTTAAAATGAATTTTAAAAATATTTTATATTTTATATATTTTAAAAATAAGTCGAGCCGAGTCCTAATTCGATAATTTTACATAAAAATGAACCGCGTTTTACGAGTTTTAACTAAAAAAATTGAGTTCAAAAAATTATTCAAGTTTAATTTATTTAAAACATGAGTCAAACTCGATTCGAACCCAAATAACTTGTATCGATTAACACCTCTATTGATTACACATTTTTAATTTATTGAGAATAAAAAAAAAAGAATTTAGAAGTCGGTACAATTTTTTAGACTTATTTGAACAAAAGTATAATTCAAAAACTTATGTGAGGTAAAGTGCATATTTTTTTAAAACACCAATATTATAATTCGGTAAACAATAGAAACGCAGAACTCATTTGTATTCCTCTGTATATTATGGCTAAAATCAGGAGATAAAAAAGGAGATTCAATTATCAAAACTCTTATTCTTCGGCACCTTGATTCTTCGGCATCCTAATTCCATGGCAAATGGCAATAGGATATCCATAGAATGACATAACTATTTATTTTTTTCTATTTTAACCATCGAATATTCCACAAAAAAAAAGTACTATGATAGTTCCAAAATCCGACTATTCATCGTTACCAACATCGTGCAGAACCTGTTCACCGTCTGTGACAACTTCTTCACCGAAAATTTGAGTTGACATTCTATTTTTTTTTTCATTCAATGATTATTTGGTTTTTTTTTTCAAAAATCTGTTTAAGTTGATTCAAAAATAAAACCAAATCATAAAACCTTAATTTTGTGAAATTATATTAATAATTTGCAAATGTATTATAGCATATGTATATGAAAAAAAACAATTTGAAACATGTTTTTTTTTGATTAAAAATAGTTATGCAACTGTTTTAAGTAACTATTTGAAATTCAAATATAGAATTTTTTTTATTCAAAATTTAATGGGTTTAACTGTATTGCGTAACTATTTTTCTGATTTTAAGGATTTAATTCTTATAAGTTTGTTATTGGCAATTTTTTGGTTCATTATTTTTTTGATTAAAAATAATTCAGTAATTGTTTTAAGTAACTATTTGGGATTCAAATATAGACTTTTTTTATTCAAAATTTAATGAGTTTAAATGTGTTGCGTAACTATTCTTCTGATTTTAAGGATTCATTTCTTATAAGTATGTTATTGGCAATTTTATGGTTCATGAATTTTTTGATTAAAAATAGTTACGTAACTATTTTAAATAATTATTTGGGATTCAAATATAGACAGTTCATATTCAAAATTTAATGGGTTTAATTGTGTTTCGTAACTATTTTGATGATTTTAATGATTCAATTTTTATATTTGTTATCGATAACTTTATTGATTAACTGTTAAATAGTTGTATCTTATTTGTGTTGTAATTGCCTTGAATATCTGTTATTGAATCAAACATAATATTAATGGTCTTTGTCTCTGTGGATTAATTGTTGTTCATATTCTTGATGGAGGTAAGTCAGAACAGAGGCCAAACCTGCAATGTAGTATCTATATGGTCATTTCAATGGGTTACCCAATTCAGATTTTGGATATAGTATTTTATCAAGACTTCAATTAGACATAAACTCATACACAAGTATCAATTCACCCTTCTCAACACACTAGTATTGGAGCTGAAATAAAATAAATGTTTGTGCCTCAAACAAGCAATAATGGACAATTCATCTAAGAATTCAGTTTTACCTTAATGAGAATGATTTGATCTTTTCATTGCAATAACAGTTCATGATTCTATGAAAAAAAAAGTTAGTAAATAGTTTCAAATGATCCGTAAACAATGTCAAATATCTTTTGTGGCTGATTTGAACTCTTTGTATCTAAAAGCTCTTGGGGCTGTAACAAGTTCTGCTTTTAACTCCTAATTGTGTTCCTAAAATTAATTACTATGTGCAATTGAGTTACAATGCTCATAAAAAATTTGAATGAATCTCACTCTAACGAATTAAACAGTTATCAATGTGTGGAGTAATGGTTAGGTTAATATAGATACACCATATATTAGCGTGGTTTGTAACTCCAAAAATATGATTGACATTTATCAAACACATTATATCAAATATATTGCGCAAGTCTTTATCATTTTGCAAACAACATTGTGGGTGATCTGGTATAGAATATGACATGACAACAAACAAATTTCCCAAGTCCTCCCATTTTTCGCACAATCTGCCATAAATGAAATTAAATGTTGCACGAACAGAACATTTGATAATAAAAGTTTCAACATCATATTTGCATACAAGCAACATTATTCCCTCCATTCTTGATTATGACATTAAAAAAAAAACGAATGACATTGTATCAATTTTTTTTAAAAAAAAAGAAAAACAGTTATATAAAAACACTAGTCATAACTCGTGCCTTCGGGTACGATAAAATATAAAATTCAAGCGTCCAAAAAATCAATTTCACTATATTAAATTTTTTCAACATGTGTATATGAATAATGTTTGAAATAAAAATTATATTAATTATAAATTAATTAAATGAGTATACATAGGATAAAAATGAGTGATGTGATATTTTTAGAAAGAAAATATATAAATGATTAAACATATGATAAAAATGAGTGATACAACTTGACATTTGAGTCTGACAGAGGGATGATGCGTGGGTAAGTGGTTGGTGATGGTTTTGAGGAAAAAAAAATATGACTGGGATAAAATTCAAAGTATGAATTGTTTTATTATATAGATTAATACAAATCAATTAATTAATTATCTAAGTACTGGGAGAAAAGCATAAAACAAATTTTTTTTACAAATATGAAGGATCTTCCAAAATAGATATTGGCCGAAAAATTGCACACAATAGCATTTACATTAAAACATAACTCTAATTAAAAAAATAGTCGCACCTATTAAAAACTAAAACAATTTTTTTCCCCGTTTATCCCAAAAAACGAACAACATATAAAATTTTTTGATTAATAATCTGAGAATAAAATAAAACAATTAACAAGCAATGACATATTAACATTTTTTCGAAAACATACATTAATGTCAATATGATAAAATAGTTACACCCATTAAACCCAAACCAGTTTTTTTTTCCATTCATTCCAATAACGACCAAACATACACAAAATCGAACATATGAATTTTCCAAAAAAAAAGATCGAATTGTAGAAGAAATATAATTATTTTGTCTATATTAAAAATAGTTATATTTATAAGAAACAGTTACACCCATTAAAATCAAAACTGTTTTTTTCCTCCATCCCAAAAAGAAACGAACATAAAACAAAAAATTGAACATAGAAATTTCCCCCAAAAAAATGATCAAAAAAAAAAGAAATATAATTATTAACAACGCACCTTCAATCCGATGACTATGATTGATATTTACAATTCCTTTTTAAAAGAAAACCAACCAGAGAAATAAATCGCCGTTAAAGAAGACTTATGTTGAAGAAGATTTATTCATTGAACACGTTGAAGAAGACTTATGTTGAAGAAGACTTATCAGTTGAACATAAACGTTTGATTCAAAAAAATAAAGATAACAAATATATAAAGATTACATATTTTTTTCTTAAAATAACTGTCAATAGATGCATAAATCACTCATAAAACTGCTCATTCAAAATTCAAAAATTAAAAGATAACAAATATGTAATATTTACATATTCGTTTCTTAAAATAACTGTCAATCATGGCTGTATAAAATAAGGAAGAGTGTTTAAGTAAAAATGATTTTAATTCATTTGAATTTTGTACCTAAACATAAAAATTTTATAAAAATTGTACTTAATAGAATAAACCATTTACTCATACACTTTTGCTCAAATAAGTATTGAAAATTGTACCTACACTTAAAAAATTCAAATTGTGTTTGGTAACATTTTTGTTTTTATATTTTTTTTATAAAAAAAACAAAACTTAATTTTATTTTTTTGGTGATAAAAATTAAAAATATAAAACATGTTTGATAGTCATTTACATTTAAAAAATTGTGAAAACAAAAATAAAAAACTTGTTTGATATTATACTAAAATTCACCACTCAAACTCCACCACCCAACCCCAACACCGAAACCAACACTACTCACCATCACTCACCGTTGAAAACCACCCCACTGACCACCACCGAAAACCACCACCCATTCCCATCCTTGAAAACCCACGCCCAAAAACCCACCCCCACCACCAAAATCCACCACCCCAATCCCCAAAATTAACCACTCATCTATATATACAGACAATATACATATATCTAAAGCTTGAGAAGACGATTGAGAGGGGTGATGACATGTTTTCCCCCTTTTTTGCTTCATCTTCGTCTTTGGTAGAGAGAGAGAGCCGACTGCGTGGGGTTAAAGAGAGAGAGATATGGGTTTTTATACTTAAAGCAAAAAAATTCATATTTTATTGCTAAGCAGGATCGAAGTCAAGACCTCATTAAATCCCTTTATCAATCGCGCGTTTGTTTTTTTGTTTTTTGATGTTTTCAAAAACATCATTTTGGATGTTTTCATATTTTAGCCTTATTTTCAAAACAGAGCAATTAAAAAAAAACGAAAACATTCACCAAACATATTTTTATTTTTATTTTTACCATAAAATGAAAACAAAAACAAAAATTATCGGTTGCCAAACAGTACCTTAATCAATAAAAGATTCCCCGCCGCTGTTGCCGTTTTTCAGAGTGGAAAAAGTCACCTTACTGAATCACTATATATCTGTGTGTTGACCCGATATTTACATTATTGACATTGATTGTCCAATTAATTATCCATTAATTATACTTTATTAAACACTTGACTGTTAATCTTAAATAAGATTGTTTTGTGCATCATCAAACACAATTAAATTTATACATGATGTGAACTAGACATGTCACAATCCAATCCATTACTAACCAGAGCGCTCCCGGTTCAATTTCATGCACTGCTATCTCACATTGGAGAAGTTCATTCATTCACCACATCATTTAACAAACTTACAACTTGTGATTTCAGTTATTACATTACAAATTTATTCACACACAATTAATACCACATAACACTGATGTTTAATACCCAGACCTCAGTGAGCTTCAAGTGCCACTCCAACCTTCTCAACCAAGCTCTTGATGTACTCCTTCCTTGCCGGATGTTCCTCCTGTGGCCGATTAAACGCTGTCCACACCGGCTCTCCGACGAACAACCTCATCAACTGTAGCATCACAAAACATGTACATTCATGATGAATAAATAAATAACTCGGGTACTGTTTATATGAATGCTCGTGTAATGTTCTATAATTGGAATTTAAAATCACTAATATATAATTTTTCACCTTGATGTAATTCGAAGTGTTGAGGGTAAACCGGTGGTAAATTCCAGCTGGTAAGACAATTAAATCACCGGCATTGATCCAGATGCGGATCCAACGGTCATTTTTGTCTCGAACATCAAAATAACCACTGCCTTCAAGACAATAACGTATCTCTTCGTCACCATGTATGTGCTCTGTGTAGAAGTTCTTCAGCTTCTCTTCGTAGTTTTGCACTTTCTCAGGACACAAATCCAACAAATCCTACAGGATTCAAATAAAAAAGTACCATCATATGTAATTGTTCGGCGGTATTTTCGGCTCTCATATTCGTAATTTCAAAAAGACGTCAATATATTACCACACACATAATCTCTAACTAATCAAATGTATAAATAGAGTATGAAAGAATGAGGAGTTCTATACACAGATTTATGCATAACACAAATTAATAAATGAAATGAATATGAGTAGAATACTTTTTGACACAGATCTGTTTTACCCGACATAATTAATAGGCATAGACACCAACAACATAATCGGTTAATCCTAATAAAGTTTACTGTACTAAACATCCTTTTAAAGTACAATTATTTCCACCCAAACTGTTACATAGTATTCTTCCCCCTTAGAACAAATAATAGGGCAAACCATACACCAAATTTGAATCCAGAAAGCTATACCCTAATATCAGAAAACTCAAAAGAATCATAATATGACAATCAAATCAAATACGAGATAAGGTTTTGAAACTTTCATACCATGTAATTATAGCCCCTGTCTTCTCTAATCTTTTGCAATTCCTCATCATTCTCATAGTCCTTTGGATTTAAGTGCCAGTACAAGACTCCAAGCTCTGCCAAATAATCCAAGGAGACAAATTCTGGGGGGCTTCGATGATGAGGGAGCCTCTTGTCCTCCCTACTTTCATCCATAAACCAAGCCTGCTTAATTTCCATAAAAATAATTTTTATAAATGTAGAAACAATCTCACAATTCTATACACACCCTGTAAACCCGACACGAAATCAAGATTTCAATTGAACCTGAATAGATAAATATGTTAGATTCATGAATAAATACAAATATGATTAAACACGAGAGCTAAATACGACTTATATATGAGAAAAAAATGCATAGCATGAATTTGACAATAACTGTCAATAGTTCTAAATTTACATAATACTCAAAATCTTGAATCTATTTGGAGAAGTTAAGGTTGTACTGACCTCGATAGCCATGGGATTATCTGAGAGTCGACCACTGGAATGGTAGGAGCTCATGGGAGTATGAGGAATGTGGAGGTGTATTAATGTCGACGATTCCTAGTTTTAGTTGCTGACACGTGTAAGGTCTGTTGTTCTTTGGGGGGATTGTGGTGTGTGTTGGTTTAACTGTTTCTTTGCCCTTGCAAATATCGATCTTGGCATTATCAGAGGAGGGGCATTCTAGAGTGTCAAAAATATTTGGGTGAATTGCACTTTCTACCCTAAGAAATTTAGGAATTTTTAATTTATATCCTTAAATATTAGACTTTTCATTTTTTTGGGGGGAAAAAGAGAAAGAGGACTTGAACCATTGACTTCAAGAAAGTAAAATTTTCACAAGATAAGAATTACTATGAACCCGTTGGTAGAAAAGGATTTGTTCCGAAGATTAGACTTTTCATATTGAACCTTTAATGTATTAAAAATGTTGTAATGTGGTTCTTTAATTAATTTTCGTTACGCATTCCGTAATTGTTACTAGGGTGACTTTTGACGGAATAAGTAATAAAAACTAGCATAAAAGTCGCATTATAACACTTTTAATACATTGAGAGTATTTTTGAAACTATAAAATTTTAAATTTTAAATCTTTTGGGGTACAAAGTAAGATTTCTCCAAGATATTTTAACTATTTGAGTTATTAATAGTTATACATCACTAGAGTTGTATCATATAAAAATCATGTCTATTTGAGTTTGTATCGATTTATTTATTAATTATGAATCACTAATTAACCTGACTATTATCGGTAGGGAAATTTCACAAACAAGCAATGTTATGTTTATTAAATCACTTATTAAATTTTGTATCTTTAATTAGTGTGGGTGATTTGTATGCCCAATGTTTTGAAAGTGCAATGACAAAAATGCTCGTCAATACTCTCATGTTTCAAGCATATGACATTTTTTGTTACTTTTTTGGACAGAAGTTGGTGTGAAATACCAAATTAGCCGAATGTGTGAATATTGAAGATTAAATTGACAAAATTAAAATTTTGAAAATTAAAGTATGACTAACGTTAAATTTTAGACACCATTTGTGCAATTTATCGTGTAACTATAATGCTCATTGGGCACAACAACTTTTAAAACAATTTCAACGAAATTGTTGTGTGAAATGTAATTTCTCCATCAAGCAGCATTTCACTACAAGAACATCTCTGAAGTTTGTAGACATATAATATTTACATCTCTCAAGTTTAAAATGTTATATTTAGACAAAAAATATTTCAATCAAGTATAGATTATTAAATATTTTAAATTTTAAAACCAAAATTCATTTCTATTGTATTATTTATTGAAATAAAATCAAAAATAAAAAATCAATTTTTTCTTAAAAAATCATAATTAAAATACAATTATACTATCTATTAGAATAAAATTAAAAAAATCAAATAAAGGGTCTAAGTCATTCATAATAGAATATGAATTTTACAACCAAAGTTCATGTTTTATTATGTCATTTATTGAAATAAAATAAAAAATAAAAATCTAATTTTTCTTACAAAATCATAATTAATATACAATTATATTATCTATTAAAATAAAAGTAGAAAATCAAACAAATGATCAAACTGTAATAGACATAATATATTTTAACTTTAATTGAGATAATTTGATGTTTAATTTGGTCGTTTAACCGATCAAATTAAATTTCAATAGATAGTAAAATTTTATACTAATTATAATTTTTAAGAAAAAAATTAGATTTTAATTTTTAATTTTTTTTCAATAAATGTCATAATAGAACATGAATTTTGGTTGTAAAATTAAAAATATTTGATATTTTATCTTTTATTAGAATATTTTTGATAAAAATATAACATTTTAAATTTGAAAGATCTAAGTATTATATGTCTATAAATTTTAAGGGGTTTGAATGTAACTTACTAATGAATATACTAACAGACATTGATGCAGGAGTCTAAGTGTTACACGCATATAAACTTTAAGGAGTTTGTGTATAATATTTTAAAAATTAAAGAGTCTGAGTAATTAAGTGACAAACTTCAAGAGGTCTGAATGTAATTCCCTCAAAAATTTGTATTCAAAGATATATTCCATGGAAAGCAGAGAGAGTTGGCCCATATGAACATGATAGTAATTGATGTGATTCGGCCTTAATTACAACCTGAACCCCTGACTGAACCCAGACCTATCGGGTCTTGAGCCGATGACCAAACCGACTCGTAGGCCCACACTCTCACAGATTAGATAATGAGGGTTCATAAAAACAACTGACCTTTGGGCCTTCCCTTCTTTCTACATATCTATCACGACACAATAACAAACGTTTTGCTGTCGGCTTTTATCTGTTACCCTTTACCTTAGACCCCACTCCAACATTAAATAGCATGTCCTTCTCACCGGTGGATTCTTCCCTTCCTCACTGCAACAAGTCAGAGAGAGGGAGAGGGAATAGGAGTAGTCTATCGTACCAAAAATATCGTAAAAATTGTTAAAAATTATACATTTGATACCTAATTTATAAATAAACTAGTTATTACACAAAGTAATAAAAAATAAAAAATAATAAAAATATTTGTATTAATATTTAAAATCAAATCACAAACATAAAAAATAGATAAAAAAATTTAAGCATCAATTTTATAGTGAGGGTGAGAGGTGGTGGACAACAATAGTCGTGGTAAGAGACAACGATGGTTGTGGTGGGTGACAATGATCATGATGGCATTGAGGGCGGCGATGACAGAAGCGACAACAATGGCAGTTGTGGGGGTGGTGGTGGAGGCAACAACGGTGGTGGCAGTCGCAGTGGCGACGATAGTGGTGATGGCAGTGACAGTGATAATAATGACGATGGTGGTGGTGGTGATGGTGGTGGTAGAGGTAGTGGTAAGATAATTTCAAACACTATTTTTAAAAAAAAATATTTATAAGATAACTTCTAAAAGTATTTTTAAAAAGTCACTTCAAACACACTATTAGGAACATATTTTTCTTATTAAATTTAGGGTATTAACTTTAAAATAAAATTTAAAACGATCTTAATTGCAAATAACAAAAATTATTTTGTTTATTTTTTGAAATTTGAATTAAAAATTACTTTATTATATAGATTTAAGTTTATATTTTTTAAGGTATGAGGTTTAATTCAACCGAATTTATTTTTAAGGTGAGAGGTCTAAACTAATTTTTTTTTAATATAATAATATTATTCCTTCTGCCGTGTACTTTACTCAACCAAGCTATTGTCTTTTTATTAATAAATTCAGCTCTTCTTTCACACACATCCACCGCCACCCCCTAACGGTGAACTAAAATATTTTGCTTTTCTTCTATCGACAATATATAACAAGGAGATTGCATTCTGTCCAACTTACTGGCAAACCATATGGTTTTCCGGCAGCCACTCTGTAATAGACACGTTGGCCAAAAAAGGGAGAAAAGACCAAAAATTTTTACTGTGATTGTAAACCATTCAACTGGGTCTTATACTATTGAGGTTAAGTTTGTTAACTGTGGTTATTTACTAGGTTAGATCGCCTTCTCCGATTACCCTCACGTCTTCTCTGACAAATGCAGCCAAATTCTATCCAACCAAATGTGGATAAAGTCAAAATCTATGGTATTACTGAATTTACGGGCAATATAGCTGATGGGATTTTAGGAACTTGAAAATAATAGATAAACACGTGAATAGTTATAGTCATTAAGAATCCACAAGTTATAACTTGGAGGATTGAGTGCGCCCCTTTGAGTTTAGCACTAGAAGGGATATGCAGTTCATTAATGGGGTCTTGAATGATTGTAACAAAGCCATTAATGTATATCTATGTCCTCGAAAAAAGTGAAAGTAGTTATCATTACCGAGCAAAGATATTTAATAATTAGGAGTTGGGCCATAAATACTTGAGGGTTATCAAGCAAGGGTCCACTTGCCGAGGGTATTAAACTTGAGAAAATTTGATAAGATGACACTCATTATAGTTAGATATGAGTGCACGTCATTAAATTCTGAGATTGACTCAAAAATCATATCATTATTGTCAACTCAAGTATAAATATCTCTAAAAAAATTAGACCAATGTACACAATTTTAATCCAAAAATACGTTGTGCTTATGATCCTTATGCCGATGACTTGGACTTTGAAAGGGATTAGTCCAATATACACTCGGCCCCTCTTTTTGTCCTAATCTTTTGTTTTAAGTTTAACGTTATTCAAAATTGTTTCACGTATTATTATATCAATTCATCACAGAAAATCATCCGTACAACAACCTAAAGAGTTGACTACCAACACTGAGACCTCTCTTATTTACAGTGCCACCATGAATAAACTCAAACACATGTCAATCGCACTATTTACAGTGATGAAGTCTACCGTAAAGAAGAAACATCATGATTGTGTAACCTACAAATTAACCATTATTAATAAAGCTAACTTAAGCACAAGGGAACCAGAAAAGACCCGATTGGTCTGGGTTCGGTCAGGGGTTCAGGTTGTCAATAAGGCCGAATCACATCAATTACTATCATATTCATATGGACCAACTCTCTCTGCTTTCCATGGAATATTTCTTTAAATATAAATTTTTAGGAGAATTATATTCAAATATTTTAAAATTTGTCATTTAATCACTTAAATAAACTTCTTTTTCGACAATATTTTTGTCAATTATATGTTTTATGGAAGTTTTGTTTTTTCGGGGTGGACCTCTCATATATTCGTCGTCAAAGTTTTTAAAAAATTTTGGTATTATACCATCATAATAAATTTTGTAATTGATTTTTATAAAATTAGCAATGCATTACATGCGCTGCACGTAAATAAATTTAAATAATTTTTTTTAAAAATATAAATTATATATATGTAATTAAATTAAATAATAAATTTGATATCTAATAATTAATCTGTATTTTAATTATTAGTTTATTTTATAAGTTTTTGAGTACTTTTTTTTTGAGTATTTAATCTGCCATTTGTTTTACCCATTTGCAGAGCTAATTACATTACAGAGAATTCAAAATAATTTAAAAGTCTTTATAAAAAAGTTAAAAGTCAAATAAGAATAAAAAATAAAAATTAGATGAAAGTATATAGGTGAGTATAATTGATTTTATT